TGCCTGTTCTCACTTTCAGGTGACATTGTAAATAAGAAGCATTATTTCCTGTAAACAAACTTGTTTGTCTTAGCATTGGCTGAACAAGAAGTAGGACTGAGTGGACTTGCAAGCTTTAAAATTTTAGATTGTTTTGTTTTTGAGTGCAGTTATGTAACCAAAAAAAAAAATCTACATTTGTAAGTTGCACTTTCATGGCAAAGAGAATGCTCTACAGTACTTGTGTGAGGTGAATTGAAAAATACTATTTCTTTTATCATTTTTACAGTGAAAATATTTATAATCAAAAATAATATGCACTTTGATTTCAATTACAACACAGAATATATATGGAAATATTGAAAAACATCCAAAACATTTAATAAATTTCAATTGGTATTCTATTGTTTAATAGTGTGATTAAAACGGTGATTAATCTAGATTAATTCTTTTGAATTAACTGCGATGAATCGAGAGCCCTAGTTTTTAACTATAAATCTCTCCATAAAGAGGTCACCTATTGAAACATATTTTTAAGCAATGTTTATGCAAAAGACAGGAGTAACATTTCAATGCTTAGTATAATTAGAACAATATCCCAGACTCCCCATCAAGTTTAGTCCTGCAGTGTTTTTCTAATATGCTGTTATTATGACTCAATACACATACAAGCCCTTCAGATAATCAGGATTTGCAACAACACACAAACCTCCCTTACAATCATGCAAAATGAAGGGAGCACAGATTTTCAATTCTGTGCTCTAGATCTCTGAAGCCTTCTCAATTCTACAGGATGCTGGCTGGCTTCACAAGCTGCACTCCAGATTCCTCAGATGTGAAAACAAGAATAACATTTAATATTTTCCAAACCAAGACTGCTGACCTGTCTCAAGAGTACACATCAACAGATGACTTCTACTCTAGAGGTCTTTTTATTGTGGTTTTAAAGGAAATGCGATTATTTCTCACCCTCTCTTCCTGAAATGCTGGGGCAAAGAGAGAAGTGAATATTAGAAGATAAGGATTCCGACATAGTGGCACTTCTGAATCTGTCCCCATTATCCTGGGCCACCTCAGGGTGTTTCTCAATAACTACCTCCATTCTGCGAGAGATCGGCAAATACTGGAGTACCTGAAAATATAAATGCATGTGTCGTTATTTCACCTCACTTAAAAAGCACTAAAATCACCCAGTCTGCGACTTAATGGGGGAAAAAATAAACACAGAAGAGAAAAAAAAAGTTAACCATGATTACCTGTCATTTGTACTATGAAAGATACAAATAAACAACTAAAAACTACTTTCAGTGATTATACAATAAAATCACTAGGTAAACTAAGTGTAATGCAGAACAACTCCTCAGATTTGCCTTTGAAATTTTCTGTGTTCTTAGGTGAGTCCTTAGGTATACTGGCATTGCTACAGAGGCGGGGTTAAGGTTGTATGGGTGTGTGAGCAAATGCCACTCCCAATCTAGCGTACAAACAGACAAAGTCCAAACTCATCTCTCCTTGGGGCTTGGCTTTATTAACCAATCACCACCACCACAAGGATATGCCTACATTTAAAACGCTACATCGGTGCCTCTGCACCAGTGCAGACACTACCTACTTCAATGGGAGGGATTCTCCCTTCTGAGTAATTAATTCGCCTACCTGAGAGGCAAAGCTAGGTCATTAGAAGAATTCTTCTGCCAAGATAGCGCTGTCTGCACTGGGGGTTAGGTTGGTATATCCATGTCTCTCAGTGCTGTGGATTTTTCACAATCCTGAGAGACGAAGCTATACCTATGTAAAATCCTAGTGTAGATCAGGCCTCTGATTATAAAGATAGCCTGGAGAGAAGGTTTCAGGTGTTCTCCTTCTAGACTGCTCTGCCCATACCCTTGATCTTCTTCAACCCAAGCAACCTATTTACATTATACTCAGGGGACTCATTATCCTACTTACCTCAATGAGCCAGAAGAATTTCTCTTTTTTCTAGCAGAATTATCCACTGTGTTAGCAGGCCTTTAGATTGCCAGCATTTTACAGGGCACTTGCTTGTGCAATTCAATACTTTCAAATCTCTGAATTTCTTTTAAAATTTAACCTTAACTCTGAATTTCCTGAGTTTCTCTTTTTTCATCAGAGTTTTTTACACTAGCTACAGCATTCTTGCAAGGATTTGTTCCCCTAAAACAACAAGCCCATAGAGTTTTGAGATATACTCTCAATCCTTCGCTCCAGCAAAATCACGTTTTCCTTGGGAAATATTATTACATTTAATAAATGCTAATATTTTGCAGTGCGGAGGTTGGCAACTATGTTGCACGGTCCACAATGCTCTCTTACCCTCAGGTAGCTGTGAATCGCCTTGAGAGAGTGTAGGTGACACACTAACCACTGCATGTAAATAACCAGGTCTTCCTGTGTCACTATATTTACAGGATTTTTCTTTCCTGTCAGGAAGTTCTGTCGTGCAGCCGACAGTCTCGTAGCCCTCTGAACAGCATCGTTGTACTCCTGCATAATGGGACCAATTTGTTTCTATGTAGAGAGAGAAAAGACCATCATTTTCCTGTGTTTGTTTCTTTATGCAATCTATTAATTAACTAAAAGAACTCTGCACTCCCACCATGTGAAATATTCTACTTTGGCAGTAATTTTGAGGCTTTTGCTTCCCAGACAAAATTATATTTGCAGTCTAAGGGTATGTCTACACTACGAAATTAGGTCAAATTTATAGAAGTCGATTTTTTAGAAAGCAATTTCATACAGTCGATTGTGTGTGTCCCCACTTAAGACCATTAAGTCGGCAGAGTGCGTCCACAGTACTGAGGCGAATGTCGACTTCTGGACCGTTGCACTGTGGGTAGCTATCCCACAGTTCCCGCAGTCTCTGCCACCCATTGGAATTCTGGGTTGAGATCCCAATGCCTGATGGGACAAAAAACATTGTCGCAGGTGGTTCTAGGTACATGTCGTCAGGCCCCCTCCATCCCTCCCTCCATGAAAGCAACAGCAGACAATCGTTTTGTGCCTTTTTCCTCAGTTACCCATGCAGACACCATCCACGGCAAGCATGGAGCCCACTCAGCGCACCATCACCATACGTCTCCTGGGTGCTGACAGACATGGGACTGTATTGCTACACAGCAGCAGCTCATTGTCTTGTGGCAGCAGACAGTGCAGTATGACTGGTATCTGTCCTTGTCGTCTCCCGGGTGCTCCTGGCAGACTTCGGTAAGATCTGTCAGGGGTGCCTGGACATAAATGGGAGTGACTCAGGTCATTCTCTTCTTTAAGTTTTGTCTAATGGAGATTCAGTCCTGCCTAGAATATTGGCAGAGGGATAGTTCAGTGGTTTGAGCATTGGCCTGCTAAACCCAGGGTTGTGAGCTCAATCCCTGAGGGGGCCATTCTGCCTCAGGCGACTCTCCCAGCCAGCAGCACTGCGAGCACCCAGGAGATGATGGTGGCTAGCAGCTTTACTTCACTGTCTGCTGCCAGCCTGCTCCTCCCTCCATGAAAGCAAAGGCCGACAATTATTTCGCGTCTTTTTCCATGCAGGCGCCATATTGCTGTCAGCATCGTCATCTACCTGCCGCTGCCACTCTGCTCTCCTGCTCATGCCATACCACGGCAAGCATGGAGCCCACTCAGATCACCACGGCAGTTGTGACTGCTCTAAACACCACGGGCATTATCCAGCAATATATGCAGAACCAGAACCTGCAAAAGCAGGCGAGTAGGCGATGGCAGCGAGGTGAGGAGAGAGAGGAGGACATGGACACAGACTTCTCTCGAAGTACGGGCCCCAGCGATTTGGCCATCCTGGTGGCAATGGGACAGGCTCATGCCATGGAATGCTGATTCTGGGCCCAGGAAACAAGCACAGACTGGTGGGACCGCATAGTGTTGCAGGTCTGGGACGATTCCCAATGGCTGCGAAACTTTCGCATGCGTAAGGGCACTTTCATGGAACTTTGTGACTTGCTTTCCCCTGCCCTAAAGCGCCAGAATACCAAGATGAGACCAGCCCTCACAGTTCACAAGTGAGTGGAGATAGCCCCATGGAAGCTTGCCACGCCAGACAGCTACTGGTCAGCCGGGAATCAATTTGGAGTGGGTAAATCTACTGTGGGGGCTGCTGTGATCCAAGTAGCCAACACAATCACTGACTTGCTGCTATCAAGGGTAGCGACTGTAGGAGATGTGCAGGTCATAGTGGATAGCTTTGCTGCAATGGGATTCCCTAACTGTGGTGGGACCATAGACGGAACGCACATCCCTATCTTGGCACCGGACCACCAAGGCAGCCAGTACATAAACTGAAAGGGGTACTTTTCAATGGTGCTGCAAGCACTAGTGGATCACAAGGGACGTTTCACCAACATCAACGTGGGATGGCCGGGAAAGGTACATGACGCTCGCATCTTCAGGAACTCTGGTTTGTTTCAACAGCTGCAGGAAGAGACTTACTTTCCAGACCAGAAAATAACCACTGGGGATGTTGAAATGCCTATAGTTATCCTTGGGGACCCAGCCTACCCCTTAATGCCATGGCTCATGAAGCAATACACAGGCACCCTGGACAGTAGTCAGGAGCTGTTCAACTATAGGCTGAGTAAGTGCCGAATGGTGGTAGAATGTGCATTTGGACGTTTAAAAGCACGCTGGCGCAGTTTACTGACTCCGTTAGACCACAGTGAAACCAATATTCCCATCGTTATTACTGCTTGCTGTGTGCTCCACACTATTTGTGAGAGTAAGGGAGAGACGTTTATGGCAGGGTGGGAGGTTGAGGCAAATCATCTGGCCACTGATTATGCGCAGCGAGATACCAGGGTGGTTAGAAGAGCACAGCAGGGCGCACTGCGCGTCAAAGAAGCTTTGAAAAAAGAGTTTCATGACTGGCCAGGGCTACAGTCTGAAAGTTCTGTTTGTTTTTCCTTGATGAAATTCCACCCCCTTGGTTCACTCTACTTCCCTGTAAGCCAATCGCCCTCCCCTCCCCCCTTTGATCACCGCTTGCAGAGGCAATAAAGTCATTGTTGTTTCAAATTCATGCATTCTTTATTAATTAGTCACACAAATGTGGGGATAACTGCCAAGGTAGCCTGGCAGAAGGGAAGCACTGGGTGGGGTGGTGAAGGAGGGAAGGACAAGGCCACACTGTACTTCAAAACTTGTTGAATGCCAGCTTTCTGTTGCTTGGGCTGTCCTCTGGGGTGGAGTAGTTGGGTGCCCGGAGGCCCCCCCACTGCATTCTTGGGCATCTGGGTGAGGAGGCTATGGAACTTGGGGAGAAGGGCGATTGGTTACACAGGGGCTGCAGCAGTGGTCTGTGCTCCTGCTGCCTTTCCTGCACCTCAACCATACGCCGGAGCATATCAGTTTGATCCTCCAGTAGCCTCAGCATTGCATCCTGCCTCCTCTCCTCTCGCTCGTCCCTCCTCTCCTCGCGTTCATTTTGTGCTTTCCTAGACTCTGACATTGTCTCCCTCCATGCATTGTGCTGGGCTCTTTCAGCATGGGAGGACTGCATGAGTTCAGAGAACATTTCACCATGAGTGTGTTTTTTTCGGTTTCTAATCTTTGATAGTCTCTGGGATGGAGATGAAATGTGGAGCGATGAAACATTTGCAGCTGCGGGAGGGTAAAGAGGGAGATTAGTCTTTAAAAAACAGGCATTTTAGAGAACAATGGGTAGACTCTTTCACGGTGAACCAAGCTGTTAACATTACATAGCACATGTGCTTTCTTTACAAGGTCGTATTTTGCCTCTTATATCGAGGGCCTGCCGGTTTGGTGTGAGAGATCACACACACAGGGCTGGCAGGCAACAGAATTCGGCTTGCAGGCAGACATGGTAAGCCACAGTCTTTTGGCTTCTTTAACCTTCCTAACATGTGGGAATGGTTTCAAACAGCAGTGCCCTCATTTCATATACCAAGCACCCATTGGGTTGGCCCTTTAAAATGGGTTGGCCATTTAAAAGGAGGGGCTGCGGTTTTCGGGTTAATGTGCAGCACCAACCCAACTAACCCCCCTCCCCCACACACACACCCCCAATGCTCTGGGATGATCGCTTCACCCCTCCCCCCACCACATGGCTAACAGCAGGGATGATTTCTGTTCAGCCACAGGCAAACAGCCCAGCAGGAACGGCCACCTCTGAAGGTCCCCTTAATAAAATTCCCCTATTTCAACCAGGTGACCATGAATGATATCACTCTCCTGAGGATAGGACAGAGAGATAAAGAACAGATGTTGCTTGAATGTCAGCAAACACCGGGACCATATGCTGCCATGCTTTGTTATGCAATGATTTCAGACTACGTGCTGCTGGCTGCCGTGGTAAAGTGTCCTACCATGGAGGACAGAATAAGGCTGCCCTTCCCAGAAAGCTTTTGCAAAGGCTTTGGGAGTACATCCAGGAGAGCTTCATTGAGATGTCCCTGGAGGATTTCCGCTCCATCCCCGTACATGTTAACAGACTTTTCCAGTAGCTGTACTGGCCGCAAATGCATCCCAAGACTTCAGGGCAAACTAGTCATTAAACACGCTTGCTTTTAAACCATGTATTATATTTACAAAGGTACACTCACCAGAGCTCCCTTCTCCACCTTCTAGGTCCAGGAGCCTGCCTTCGGTGGGTTGGGAGGGTACTAGATCTGGGGTGAAAAACAGTTCCTGGCTATCGGGGAAAATGGTTTCTCCGCTTGCTTGCTGTGCTTCAACCTCCTCCTCCTCATCTTCCTCGTCCCCAAAATCCGCATCCCTGTTGTGTGAGAGTCCATTGATGGAGTCCATGCGCAGGACTGGGGTAGTTGTAGGGACACCCCCTAGAAGGGCATGCAGCTCATCATAGAGGCGACATGTCTGGGGCTCTGACCTGGAGTGGCCGTTTGCCTCTCTGGTTCTTTGGTCAGCTTGCCTGAGCTCCTTAAGTTTCACACGGCACTGCTGCGGATCCCTGTTATAGCCTCTGTCCTTCATGCCATTGGAGATTTTCAAATATTTTGGCATTTCGTCTTTTCGAACGGAGTTCTGATAGCATGGATTCGTCTCCCCATACAGCGATCAGATCCAGTACCTCCCGTTTGGTCCATGCTGGAGCTCTTTTGCGATTCTGGGACTGCATGGTCACCTGTGCTGATCAGCTCGCCATGCTGGCCAAACAGGAAATTAAATTCAAAAGTTCACAGGGCTTTTCCTGTCTACCTGGCCAGTGCATCTGAGTTGAGAGTGCTGTCCAGAGCGGTCACAATGGAGCACTCTGGGATAGCTCCCAGAGGCCAATACCGTCGAATTGCGTCGACACTACCCCAAATTGGACCCAGCAAGGTCGATTTCAGCGCTAATCCGCTCGTTGAGGAGGAGTACAAAAACTGGTTTTCAGAGCCCTTAAAGTCAGGAAAAATGGCTTCATAGTGTGGAAGGGTGCAAGGCTAAACTGATCTAACGCTGCTAAATCTGACCTAAACTCGTAGTGTAGACCAGGGATAAGAGGAAAGGTCATCTCCAGTCTCAAACAGAGAATTTATTAGCAGTCATCTTTGACAGTAAAAGAAGCTGTAATTAATATACCCAGCTGTCTAAAATCCGAATGTATAAAAACTCAAAATCATCCACAATCTTTTTTCCAGTTAAATACACCCCATTCTCCACATGGCAATGACTACTTGGATAAAAAATAAGTGGCATTTGTGACATCAGATCACCAGTTTACATCATGCTTTTAGAATGAAACAACAAAAACCTTTTCAAAAACAATTTTTCCTTGTATATTTTTAGGAAATTTAATGCTAGTGAATGTTCTAGATTGACATCCCTAGTTACCTGATGCTCTTGGTGGAAACTAGAGCTCATCAGAAAGTGGAAAGTAACTTTTTCCTCATTTAGCAACAACATCCCAAGTTTTGCACAAGCACTAATTAAAAACTAAGTTAAACATTATTCCTTATTATAGTTTCCCCGATACACACTCGCCTAAAATACTCTCCCAGGCTGTTACAACACCAACCCCCACAACTGTTGCATAGAATCACACTAGCACACAGTAGTTCTTGTGCTACAGTTGGGCCTTTCGCCAATCACAGAGGTTCAGCACATGCCAGAGCAGCGAAAGTTTCCTCATGTGCGCTGCCAGTGTGCATCTACTCTGGTTCGTGGTAGAAATGGAGGGTTGTTTCAGTTTCCATGTCCATTCAGTCCTTGGCCCCTTTTAGGAGGCTGCCAGTAAGTGCCAGTTGTGGTAATGGCATATGATCTGGACAACAGTCCATTAGAAAATGCACTGAAACCACCAACTTGTGTCACAGAGATTACCAAGTAGATTGAGTGCTAGTGACTGGCTCCATAACCTATTACCTCTTCTCTGAGTTTCCTGTCTTTAAAAGTTTGCTCAAGTATTAAGTAGCATTTTTTTTTTAAATTGATAAACCTGCCATGGTGGAAGGTAGAAACAGCTTTAGCATCTCTGACACTGTGCTTCCACACTGCTAGCATAACAAAATGCTGGAAAATAACCATAATCTGTCTGTGTCTACAACCAACAGGATTCTTGCAGTATCCACTTTATCTTTGCTGATATTTTCATTATGTATATTGATTTAGAGTTGGTAAACAATACAGATATTTACAATACAACTGCATAACATACTAACCAGAAAATGCAATCAACAAATTTACTATGCTCACAGTCACTAAACATTTTATATTTAAATCAATAAGAATAGGTTGTCAAGAGGAGCATTTAAACTATTGTACCCTAACATTTATTATTTCATAATGTCACATTTCAGCTTCCACCACTAATACAACTCACAATTTATTTTCTGTGAGAAGTGTTTCTCCTGGAAATGTAAGGAACCTGCGCTGAACGAAACAAGTGCTACATTCTTTGAAATACAATAAATGAGGGCATGGAAAGCTGGAATGGGTAAGAGCCTTCCACTTTCCTGGACTGGACTCGACTCTTCTTGAACTGCTTTTGCTTCATTTTTAAATGATAATCTGTCAGGGAGATTCAGAAGGGGCCTATATTCTAAAGCCTGTGGTTTTCAGCCACAAAAACAGATTTTATTGAATAAACCCATATAATTCCACAGCTGCCAAGTGATGTGGTTTTAATGACTTAGTAGCTTGCTGGGCTAAATGTGAGATTACAGTGTTAAGACCATTGCCATACTAGTTTCAAAGCTCTGGTATTTTTGAGCATTACAGTGACAGGGGCTCTTTACGAGAATGTATAGTTGGACTCATAACACTAAAAACGTCTGAATTACAAGTGGAGGGAAGAAAACAAACGTAGTACCAGCAAAATGTTTTTGAAGTTTCTAAACTATATTCTGCTAACATATGGCATATGAAGAATACTTTGGGGAGGGGGTGATATAAAAGGTCTTTCTGATGCTCTTGAAATGACCTACATAATAAATAGTAATGATAACATTTGGCATCTAGTGGTTACCTTTGAAAATAAACCACAAACGTGTACTAAAAGGCCACACGTTTATGCCCCCAAACACTTGTATTCAATATTCCTTTCCCTCCACTCACAGTACATTCTTAGGGTAGGTGGTGTGTTCTCCTCTCTTGCTGGAAACCGCATAGCACATTTTATGTGCTACCATATGAACACCTTTCATCTGAAGATCTCAGTGCTTTACAGAAGATCCTTATCCTTTATGGCTTTGTCACTTAAGTGCAAGACAGCCATCTCAAACACCATGAACATATCATGCACATATGCAATATTTCTATTTTTTGATTTCCTACCTGATAGAGGGGATAAAGCTGTTCAATAACACTGCTGTGCCTACAAAATCTCTTCCATCTAAGCATGTGTAAATATTTACTCTGGACAAGATGAGTAATTCTGTCTGTAAAAAACTTTAATGAAACCAAAAATAAACAAAGTGTCACGCTTGAGCAAATGGTAACAATTTAACATTATGGGGAACTAAAGTAGAATTGAGAAGAACGTAAGTGGGAGAAATAGTCAGTCCCTTAGTATCCCTGTTCTGCCACCCATCCTCACACTGAGAGGTAACTTTCTCTACAAGTAGTCCTAGTAAAGAAAATGGTTCTACTCATTAGTAAGCAGTGGTGCAAGTAGAGCGGTACCCTCCAATACGCAGTATCAGCAAGAGATTTTTAGTGGGTATGGGATACCGGAAAGACTTGGGGAGGGGGGCGCTGCACTCTGCTCCTTAAAGGAGCAGAAAACGGCAAGGCTTTGTTTAAGTTTGTTAGCATATGTATTGTGCTGTTACATTGGTCAGGAGTCCTCAAGAGGGGAGGGGACGAAAGGTGTTTAAACAGTGTTTTCGATTCGGTTTCTCCCCATTGTTCTGAATTATCCATGACATCCATACTGCATCACATCAAGTCCAAATCATTAGAGGAATGTCTCTGCTTGCACTGACCAGAGGATGTTTGGAGTCTGATGTCAGCCTAGTTCCTCAGCCTGACAGGAATCAGGTGTTGTCCCCAGTGTACACAGAATTCTTCTTTGCAGCCAAACTAGTCTAACATGCATTTTGTTAACTGGAATTGGAGCAGCAAAACAAAGAAAACAAATACCTCATTTTCCAGCTTTGTTCATGAGAGAACTATAAGTGAAGATTACAATGCCGGACACTGACAGCCTTAAACCAGCCAGTTGCCACAAGAATCTGCCTAGAACTTTGCTGAAAATATGTTCCTCATCTTAGCAACGGAGCTAAGTCTTATCACACATTTGCTCGTTTTTATTCGAATGAAGCTCCTTCTGATCTGACAGCTCAGGCATTGTCAGTTTCATCCAGAACAATTTACAAACTTGGACCCTAATCCTGTAAACCCTTAATCATTTGATCAATCCCATTGAAGACAATGGGACTATTTGCATGACTATGGATCACTTTTGTGGGCCGGTAAGAGTTTCAGGAGTCTGTTCCTATAAAGGAAGTTGAATCCCCCATTGAAATGCAATGTTTGAATACAATACCATACAGCAGTTTATGACACAGTTGTACTTAAAATTTGTCTTTTAGTAAGTCATACGTATGCTGAAATGGCTCCTCACTCAAATCCCATATTCCATATAAACAGACCGAATACTACATATTTGGGGGGAAAGTGAGTAGTTAAGCATGCTGATCATTGTATATACAAAGTGGGATGTCAGAGGGGATGGGGAGAGCATGGGAGCCTTGGGCTGGGGCCGGGGAGGAGTCACATGATGTCCCCTTGTGTCCCTCCCATGAGTGCAGTACCGGCAAGAAATGATTTCTATTTGCACCACTGTTAGTAAGGTACTAATCAGCAAGAGGAAGGCAGCAGAATCTGTCCCACTAGGATTAGCAACTGAAAAAAAAAAAGCTTAAGAACAAAGGCTACAGAAACAGATGCGGGCACACAGTAGTACAGGAATGTTGTTCCAGCCCATCCCAGCTGACTTTGATCCCTTTTCAGATTCCAAACCAAGTAGTACAAGAGGTTCCTTATTATCCAAGGAAATGCTTTAAGCACATCCATTTTCAAGATGGCCCTTAGAACAGAATTTTGTTTAATCCTTGCTTTGAGTCATAACTCAGTCACCATCATGCTAGGACATACATGTTGAAACATTGTCCGAGTCTTTGAGTAGCAAATAGAAAAGTTACCTGGTGCAGTAACAGAGGTAAGCTTTCTGCTGTATTCTCTCTTTTCAAAAAGAAAAGGAGTACTTGTGGCACCTTAGAGACTAACCAATTTATTTGAGCATGAGCTTTCGCACGAAAGCTCATGCTCAAATAAATTGGTTAGTCTCTAAGGTGCCACAAGTACTCCTTTTCTTTTTGCAAATACAGACTAACACGGCTGTTCCTCTGAAATCTCTCTTTTCAGACAGCTCTCTAGCTCCCTCTGCATGACATCAGCCTGAACAACAAGAGGTTTTGCCTCAGCTACCTGCAAGCACAGGTAATTAGACATCAAGCAACCTTTGTGGGCAAATACAGATACTCAGGAAAAATGCTATGCTGCGTTCATGTTTTGTAATAGGCAAAACCACCCCTCCCCCCACAAAAGTCTAGGCAGAAGGCTAATTTTTCACAATCTGGAATACAAAATGATTGATTTTAAATAAAGAAAACCTATCGTTATGGGCTTCATCCTGTAGCCATTGAAGCCAGTGGGAATGATCACATGGGCAACGGCTACAGGATTGGGCCAAAAATTATCAGTATCACAAGAACAGCTGTTGTAGAAAAAATAAAGGGTTGTGTTGTTTCACTGCTATACAAACAATTATATTAGTACTCTATCCCCGTGCTCCTTATTGTCAAAAATGGAGACAGTTACACTTTTGTTCATTTAAAAAAAAAAAACCCACCTTTAACTGAAGTTAGTTCTCAGTTACTGTTTAGAATATATTTAAAGGTGACTTTTTTCATGCTAGTATAGTCTTCAGTTACCTGTAAACCTTTCTTTAGTATCACCTCCCTTTCTTTTCTGAAATACGAAGCGTCCTTTGGTATCGGAACAGAGCTATAGAAAGATTATCCAAAAGAATATTACAGACAGATAGAAAACAATGCAGTGTCACTTAATTAATATATTCCTTTGTCATAATTTGAAAGGCCCAGTACAATTCAAGTGGTATAAATCAATGGTAAATATTATCCACAGTAAATATCCCTTTTTTAAGGCAGAAAAGTTTAAAAAATTAGAGAGAGAGAGAGACAGACCGTGTGTACACCTGGGCAGGGCTTGCAAGCCCTACTCAATTAAAATCCTCACTGAAATAAATAAAGGCTTTGCCTGAGTGAGGCCTGAAAGACAGGACCCAGTATTTATTGACACTGAAGACCAAGGCTGTAAAAAGGATAAGAACCAAATCTCTCTCTCTCACACACACACAACCTATGTAGATATATTTAAAAATTTTACACACTAAAAACTATTGTAAATATTAAATATTTATACTACTAAATAAAAATGAATGTGTATGTTTTAAATACCAACCAAGTGCCCACTCCTCACTTGAGTATGAGCTGCAGAATCACATCCAAAAGCAATGTATAGGAAACCATATTAGAACACTTAAAGACACCCCTCTTCAATGAAAGAAGTGAGAGGATTAATTAAAGCTGCAGGGAGATTTTAAATTTTGTTTTGGGATTTAAAACATAGAACGGCACTGAATTTCCAAAAAGAGTTTAGAATTAGCTTTCCCATACTACACAGTGAGTCAGTAGCAGAGCCAGGACTAAAAGAAAGAGTCAAAGTTCCTGGTTCCTAGGTCTGTGTCCAAGCCTCTAGATCACTAGGCATGTAGGATTTCTAACAAGAGGAAACAAAAGTGCGTGAAACAGACACTTATAAAATACATAATTGACATAATCGGTCCTCTTTTCCTCATTCACCAAGAGGTTTTCTTTACCTGTAAGATCTATCTGGTGTTCCCTGAAGTACCCCATTGTCTTCTATTTCTGTCTTCAGCTCTGCCAGTTGAGCAGCTAGTTCTTTTTCCAACTGCTGGACTCTCTCAGTAGAAGAGATCTTGTAAAATTCATCCATATTGTAAACCTCAGTGCTTTAAGTCTACAAGCAAAGTACAGTATAGAATATGACAAGCCTAGAGACATGGTTTTTCCCCTCAAGAGCACATTACATTAGCTACATGCACAGAGATTTTCTTATATTTCCAAAGACTGAGGTTTAAAAATTAAAAAAAAAACTCCACAGAGATCACAGGTTGTATGTGCTGCATATGAGATGACCATCAGGACATATATTATAATGAACATTGTGAATTTTCTTCTGGTGTGGGAAACACCAGATCCACTTGAATTTCTAAAGAAATCCCGTATTAGAAATAATTTCTATTCCTGACTCTGGAATTACACTCTTTGCATTCTTGCATTTTGGGATTTATTGAGTAAGTCTCATGGAGTTTAATCACATTGCTGCTGAGTGACCTTGGGCAAGTCACTTCCCCCTCTCTGGGCCTCAGTTTCCCGATCTGTAAAATGGAGGGATACTGATACTGGCCTCTTTTGTAAAATGCTTTGAAAGGAAAAGCTCATCGAGGGCTGAGGTGAAGCTTGGGGTTTTTGCTAAACAATCAAAATTGATAATGCAAAGTCACTTGGTGTGACACAGTCCCTCCAAAATCAATCTCTGCTCTCCAGCTGTACTATAGACGTTCAGGCAAAAACTGTTCAACTCTGATAACAAGTACAAAAATTAGTAATAAGTAACAATAACCAGCATCTTATTCACACTGTATAAGATTATGGAACCAATTTTAATTTCCTGAAAACATATCATGCATTTGTTACATTGCTACTGAACAGTAACACACACATATATATAAGCAACCAAACGTCCACATTCTATAAGGGGATATAGAGTGTGGAATTAAATAACAACCTGGACTTTGAGTATTATTTGTATTGTGATAGCACCTACAGGCCAGGACCCTAATATGCTAGACATGGTACAAATATATAACAAAAAGAAGGTCCCTGCCCAAAAGAGCTAACAACCTAAGGCCCCAATCCTGCAAACATTTACTCACATGAAGTCAATGATACTATTCTAGAGTAAAGTTAAGCACATGCACAAGTGTTTTCAGAACTGGGGCCCAAATTTAAGACAAGATACAACAGACTGATGTGACAAACAGACAAGGAATGCAAGGGAACAAGTAAGACAGTTATGAACAATGCCTTACCACTATCAAGTGTTTTTGATGCATCACACCATGGAGGAGTTTTAAGGGACAGACCCAAAGTCCACTGAAGTCAGTGGGAAGACTCCTACTGATTTCATTGGGCTTTGGATCAGGCCCTACAGGAGGACAATGTAGTCTCCTTATGGATTCCCCAGATGTGGGTGAACTGATGAAAATAGAACTTTTAATCTGAAATAAGAACATATGCTCCCATATATCTAGTTTCTTATTTTGCTGCCATAAAGTTATCACAATTCTGTATGGTACTTTTATGTTGGGAAGCAAATGTTTCTCAGTAAATCTTTCAGTCCACACAAACATCTGTAGTTAGTTATATTAGTAAGTATCCAAGTCTTGATGGGATCCTGCCTTGCTATTTTTCTAAAAGTGTTTTTGCCAGTTCCTATTCCCAGAACACAGTGGATTTATTGAGATGTCTAATGGCCAACCCCTACTTATGCTGGGAAGAAGATTGTAACATGTCTTTTCAAACTGAATTCCTTTTCTACGGAGACAAAAAAATATTTCCAGCAGGTTTAAGTAACAGAGTATTACTGGTTTCAGAGTAGCAGCCGTGTTAGTCTGTATTCGCAAAAAGAAAAGGAGTACTTGTGGCACCTTAGAGACTAACCAATTTATTTGAGCATAAGCTTTCGTGAGCTACAGCTCACTTCATTGGATGCATCGGAGTATTACTGTTTAACGTGTGCTAGTATATTTGATTAAAACCAGAAACGTGAACAGTTGTTGGATACAATTTACTTTTCTAGGTATCCCATTATATTGTTTGGCCTGTATCCTTTGTCCTGCTTTCACAGAATCATAGAATATCAGGGTTGGAAGGGACCTCAGGAGGTCATCTAGTCCAACCCCCTGCTCAAAGCAGGATGAATCCCCAATTCATTTGCCCCAGATCCCTAAATGGCCCCCTCAAGGACTGAACTCACAACCCTGGGTTTAGCAGGCTAATGCTCAAACCACTGAGCTATCCCTCCCCCAACTGAGCTATCCCAGTTGTAAACTATTGCCCTCGATTAGAGCACTAATCAGTTCTCTTGTCATTGATCATTTTATGCAAGACCAATTTGTATAACCCAGTGTAAGGGGTGATTACTCTCCTTTGGGATGGGTCATTGTAACACTTGTCTGCTGCCTCTGTAATAATATTCAAAATGCGAATGAACATAAAAAGTTAAATGTCCTTTGCATTTGAAACTATTTTCTTTCTTCTCTGTATGATTTAAAAGGACTTGTAAGAGATTCCAGACCAAGCCCTCACTAAGCCAAACTTGCTGCTTGAGTAAAACAATCGGTTTGAAAACTCTCCTACATATTAATCATTTACAGAATTCAAGACTGGGATTCACAAAGGAGTCTAGGGAATTAGGTATCTAAATCCCGTTGAAATTGAACTCCAAACTCTCATAATAGGCCCTGATCCTGAAAACACTTAGGCACGTGATTAACTTTACTACTATGAGTAGTTCCACGGATATCAATGGAACGACTCATGCTAGTAAATTTAAGTACATGCCTATATGTTTGCAGGCACAGGGCCTTGGGCTCCTTTAAAAATCCCATCACAAGTAGTTAACAACTGCTTCCAATTGTAAATTTTCTAAATAAAAAATAATTTAGCTAGTCTCCCCACTCCAGGCAATGCTGAGATACTATTCCAAAACAAACTCTTGCAGTTGCTGCTTTTTAGGAATGCATTTTTCATTTCTATATTTTTTTCCTCTAGCTAAGGAAACTTTGAGGTTTACATTTTATTATCTATACTTTACCTCTTTTTAATGCATATTACAGTACATCAGTTCTGTTTTACTCTAAGAAAGGAAACCCATGTTGAAAAATTTAAACAGTTCCTGAGAACAAATAATAGTGAGACATTCATGTTAAAAAATGGGTTGAACTGTTTGGTGCTGAAATATAAAACATGCATAAAAGTTTTTGAAAAAAGAAAAGGAGTACTTGTGGCACCTTAGAGACTAACCAATTTATTTGAGCA